CTACTTGTGATCTCTGTCTCTGTCCAAAAAAAAAAAAAAAAAAAATTCTTTACTCTTCTCACTTGTGCATAGTTTTGAGTAAATTTCAAACAATGTTGTCAAACTTTAAAAAATCCCATTAAAATGTGGACTACACATTTTAAATGCTACACATTTAAAATGTTAAACTTATGGGGCGCCTGGGTAGCTCAGAGGGTTAACCCTCTGCCTTCGGCTCAGGTCACAGTCTCAGGGTCCTGGGATCAAGACTCACATCGGGCTCTCTGCTCAGCAGGAAGCCTGCTTCCCCCTCTCTCTATCTGCCTCTCTGCCTACTTGTGATCTCTGTCAAATAAATAAATAAAATCTTAAAAAAAAAAAAAAGACTTAAAAAAAATGTTAAACTTATAATTCAATTTGTAAAGTGTTGACATTTTAACAATACTCAGCACTCCCATCCAGGATATTTTTCAAGCCTTTACATTATATGCTAAAGTTTTATAATTTTCTTTATATAGATTACGTTTTGGGTTTACATGATTCTTACAATTTTTCTGGTTGTTGTTCTGAATGGGCTCTTTTTCCATTCTTTTGTTACTAATGGATTTTGTCCATTTACAAAGATTAGAGCTGTCTCTAATGACTGTCATTACAAATAAACCTAGGGGCACCTGCATGGCTCAGCTGGTTAAGGGTCCAACTCTGGACCTCGGCTCAGGTCTTATTCTTATGGTTGTGAGTTTGAGCCCCACGCTGGGCACCACGCTGGCTGTGGAGCCTACTTAAACTAAATAAACAAACAAGAAAGCAAACCTAACTTGTGCTTCTCGATGTTCACTGTGCAGCAGAATCACCCGGACTTTGAATAAATACCGATGTTGCCCAGAGATTCAAATTAGTCTTGGGGTGGGAGCCAGGTATCTATATATTTTTTAAAGCTTCTAGGTAATACTAATGTGCAGTCAGCTAACAAACACTCACAGGAAAACTCAAAAATCTTTTTTTATTTCTTTTAAAGTTTTTATTTATTTATTTGACAGAGATCACAAGTAGGCAGAGAGGAAGGCAGAGAGAGAGAAGAGGAAGCAGGCTCCCTGCTGAGCAGAGAGCCCGATGCGGGGCTTGATCTCAGGACATCTGGGATCATGACCTGAGCTGAAGGCAGAGGCTTTAACCCACTGAGCCACCCAGGCGCCCCAGGAAAACTCAAAAATCTTTGCCTAAAAGTTCATGTTAAGTAGGAAGTCACTGATATTTATATATTTATCCTAACATCTAACCATTCTGCTCAGGTGTCTTTTAATTCTGCAAGCTTATTTATTCATATTGTCTATAATATTTTTTTACTCTGTGCACAATTTCCACTTGTGCTGTCTGTCCCTTGCTTTTATTCCCTTCCTAACTTCCAGAATTATGTGCAATAATGTTGCAGAAAACATCTTTCTTTTCTTCTTGTTAAGAGGAATGTTTCTAGAATTTGACCACTACAGAGGGTTCTGGCCAGTGATACAGAAAGATCATCTTTAAGACAACCTCCTATTAATGCTTTTTAAAGAGTATTTACAAAGGAGACATTGGTCTCTTTTGAGAAAATTATGTTTTGTTTTGCTTTATTTGACCTAAACAACTTTACTTTTTAAATCCTTGCCATTTCTCAGACTCCTAAAATTTTACATACCTACAATATTTCAAAGGTTTTTCTGGTACGTTTATTCTTAAGTCATCAGAGGTCATTTTAACATGAACCATTTAGGTTTCTATGAAGGCGCTCTCAGTTTCTGTCAACACTGTGTTGATCTTTTGGTTACGGGATTGAAGGTATGCTGTACTCAACTAAAATCATGTTCTATCTAGAGAAGATGCGATTCCCTTCACCATTTGCTGACACCCTTCCCTAGACAGTGACAGTAATCAGCACGCTCCATGCTTTACCAAGTACAGAATTCCAGGTCTCCTGGATGGCAAGAGCCCTCTCTGCTGCGTAAGGGGTCTTCCACTGTCAACTCAAGTCTACTAACTTGGATTCCCAAAAAATTTTACTTCTTTGAAATGTTAATGCTTAGTAAAATAGTGAGGCAAACATTGTAATGGATCCAAATGTCAATACTGTGGGCAAATGATTACAAGCTCTAATGTATGTTTCTAGTCCTACCTTCCAAACATACTTAAAAAAAAATCATTTACATAAGATATGAAGTTAAGACTTAGGAATTTTACCTTCATGCTGACTATTGCGACACGGAGGTTTGTCCCACCGAGATCAACAGCCAAGGCACTTAGAGTTTCAAGAATATGGTCAATATCTTGAGAGATATTCTCCTTCACAGGAGGAAAGCAGAATTTCTTTTGTAGTGGCTCTTGGAGATCAATAGATTTAAGAAACTTCAAAATCCTCGGAACAGCATTTCCATCCCCATAGATCTTTGAACTGCAATATCAAAAAAGTCAACTAAACACTTCTCTCATACATTTTAAATGACATGGATGACATGGTGCTAATAGAAACCGAGACTTTAGATAATAAAAAGTTGTGCTTCTTCATTTTAAAATAACATCTGATATCACCAGCAACACAGTAAGTATGTGCACATTACTCACAGAAGGTCTAATTCTACTGTTGACTGAAATAAAGCTATTTTCAGCCTCAGATACCAATAATGAATGCCTCTATCATTAAGGACAAATTATGTTAGTTCAGCCAATTTCAGAATGTAACCTAGTTTGGGACAACAAATTCATTTATTTATTGCTTTCTTCATCTTTGCATTCATGGGAAAAATGGTTATTTTTAGAATTCAAACATTCAAATATAGGAAAATCTCATTACTTTGAAAGAGAGAGGAGAGCAGTCTAAATTACAAGGTTGAACTAGACTATTTTTAAAGAAAATCAATTATTTTCTACTATTTACAAAAAGTCAAAATAGGCTCAAGAAGTATTTCCTGGCAGAAGTTCTATATTAATTAACTGAGACAAATAAAAGAAGTTACCCTCCTGAACCCTTGGTAGAATAACAGGGGTTCTATCAGCAAGCCCTGTCTCACTCGTAGCTAGGGGACCCCGATGGATGTAGAATGAAAGCTCTGTTAAAATGACTGAAGAATGATCACAGCTTAAAAATGGTACTCAAGGCAGCTCCCCTTTGAAATCACTTTAGAAGGAGTATATACTCACCAAGGGTATTGTTTACCAAACTGAAGGTGCAATGCTTGCAGTATTTTGTCTTGGGTATCGGCATCCCGGACATGAAGGACATTCTCCCCTAGGTGAACCCAGTGACACATTACAATGATTTGAAAGTGGAAATGTCCAAAGAATAAAGAAATTAGCAATGTGTTGTGCTGTGCTCATAATTAAACCTGAAACCCAGAGGACTTCAAATGAGTCCATTAGAGCAACATCAACTTTTCTCCTTTATACGTTTTAAAGCACTCTCGGCAAGATTTCCATGTATCAAATACTTAAGAACACTAGGGTTCTTTATTCCCAAAGAGAATAAATCAAGTTCTTATTGATTTATTGAAATAAATGACATGCATGAATCTAGCACCTGCGTACCCCTCCCCGCCCTAGTCGTCTAGTGTGTCCACTCTCTCCACCCACCTGCCTTCCATCTACTCAGCTGGCTGCTCAACCTCTTTGTTTCCATGTATTTTCTGACCAATGTGATGGAGTCAATACAGTGAAAATGGCCATATTTTTCAATAGATCTGGCTAAGAAGAGAAGAGTGGGAGCTAGAGAGAGGAGTGGGTTGTTCTTTCTAAGATGTGAGAGGCCGAGGCATGCTTCAGGGAGAAGGAGGCTGAAGATCCAAGGCAGAGAAAGGACGCCCCTGCGGTCCCAGGAAAGCAGGAAGGGTGGGGATCTAGAACATGGGTAGAAGGCTGAGCAGTGGGCAGGACAGAAAGATGCCACACCCTCCAAAATAAGTAGGTAAGAACAAAAGGATGGATAGGCACGTGCTTATCTAAGTGCGGCGACAGAACATACAAGACCGCCTTCGACAACAGAAGATCCGCTGCAAATCCAGCGTTCAGCTGTTGGTTCACACAGTCCTTCGGCTCTCTGCAGAGTCCCCTCCGTCTCTTCAAAACAATTTCTTTTCTGGGCTTCACTGCTATCACTCTCCCAGATGTCCTCTGACCCCACCGGCATTTTCTTTTCAGTCTTCCTTGCCGGCCCCTTCCTCCTCACTGGAACTCTAAATGCTGAAGGACTCCAGCGGCTGGTCCTAAGCTCCATTCTCTTCCCTATTTACATGTCGCCCCTGGGCAATCTCCTCTAGTCCCTTCGTTTGCAATGACACTTCTGGCAGAGGGCACCCTTATCCTCCATACCCTTTCTCTGTACTTGTAAAAGAATTTTTAGCTGCATGTCTGATAATTAAGTTAAAGACTATATTCTTCGGCTTCTCCTACAGCTAGATGTGACTCTGTGACTATATTCTGATAGGATATGTGAAGAAATATTTGCAACTTCCAAGTTGTACTTTTATAAGGAAGGACACCTTTCCTCTCTTCCTTCCCAATGGCTAAAATGTGGACCTGACAGCAAGAGTTGGAGCATCTATCAAGAAGACAGTTAGAGGCTAATTCTCTGATGACCATGGAGCTATACCAATGAGAAAGAAAATCTAACTTATTTAGACACTATTATTTTGGGTCTCTCTGTTATAGCAGATGAACGGATATCTTAACTACACACCATCCACTATCAATCACTCTCAAACTTCTATCTCCCAACTCTGACTCTACCTACAACTATCAGAGCTGCTTGCTTGCCATGTCCACTTTGAAATCTGATAGGCATCTCAAATTTCACACGGCTACTGGAGAACTCTTAATTCCACCCTCCCAAATGTGTTCCTCCTGCAGTGTCCCCTCTGTCGGGAAAGAGTACCCCGCTGTTCAATCCAAAAATCTAGACGTTTCTTTTCACTGCTCACACCCAAGCAGCAGCAAGTACTCTAACAAACCCCAGACCTAAACTTTGCTCCTCTCTGTTATTACCAGGTACTCTAAGCCACTATCAGCACTCATATGAACTGAAACTCTGAAGTGGTCTCCCTGCTTCCAGTCCTGTCCCACCATACTCCACTCTGCATGGAGCAGCAGAGTGGTCTTTCCAAAATGCAAGTCACATCGTGTCCTCCTCCCGTAAATGGCTTCCCATGATATTTAGAAATACATCCCAGATTATCTAACCCGGCTTACGGAGGTCTGCTTCCTTCTCTAACATCATCTCGTATCACTCTTTCTCTTGCCTACTACCCTACAGCTACACTGGCCCTTCTGTTTCTCAGCCACATCAGGCTTGTTCCCATCTTAGGGTCTTCGCGCTGGCTGTTCCCTCTTTTCCTCCCTGATCCTCACATAGCAGATTCATTGTCACTCGGGTCTCAGCTGAAGTGTCATCTCCTCAACGAGGCATTGTCATCTAATGTATCCCATCATATTACCTGTGTTACAGGCTACACAGCACCCAGAAGGTCTGATACTTGTTTTTTTGGTCTATCATCAATCTCCCCTCCCTCTAGAATAAAGTTACGTGAGAGCTCAGCCCGGGTTAGTATAATGTACCACCAAATCCCAGTGCCTAAACACAGTAGGTGCTTATTAAATATCTTCTTAATGAATGAAGTTGAAAGAATTTCCATTCAATGGGTTGTATTTTCTCTGTGAAGTGGGGAACAAAGTAGTACATTGGGAATGAAAGAGGAAGAAGACCTAAAGGTAACAGAAAATTAGGCTAGCAACTACGAACACAGAAAGAGCAGAGCTGGAACGAACCTCTCTGATTCTAGTCTAGTTCTTTACCCCCAGAGTACATATACTTCCGTTAGCTACAGAAATACATTTATATGGATATTATTAGAACTTGGACTAATATTAGTAAGATCTAACTCAACCAGCAAATTCATTAATAATTATCCTTCTTATACTTCCGTTAAGGGGGCATCTTATTTAGAATTTCCATGCTCTAAAGTATTCATTAAGGAACTCTACTGTACCCACAAATGAAAGACTGGTATTCATATACTTATAACACAATCATTCTATCTTAAACACAGCCATCAAAGACCATAATCAGCTAAGAAAATCTTAGCTCTGACATTATAAAGACAATAAAAATGTTAAGTGGAGGCATAAAAAAATTGATAATCACTTTGTGCTATTTATAGATTTTAGGCGACAACTGGCCATTTACCTCATTCACTCACTTGTTCATAAAAGTGCATTCCAGCACTGATACATGCAAACCTTGTAATAATTCAAATACATGATAAATGTCACAGATGTATAAGGGGGAGCCCATATTTAATGCCTCTCTCCTCACACTTCCCTAGCTACTGCCTACACCAACGGAGGCCAAGTTGCTAATCCAACTGGTCAGACAGCAGGACAACGACCACACTGTGTTCACCAGTGGGCAGGAGCCACTGATTCCATATATACTTCTAGTCAGCTGAGACACAAACTGAGGTAAATACCTGTTTCTCTTCCAATCTGACGTGTTCCCAGATTGATCACAGGTGTTCCAAAAGCTCCAACCTCTCGTACTCCACAGCTGCTGTTCCCAATCATACACCCAGCATGGGCGACCAGCTGTATAAACTGGTCAAATGGGACATGTTTCACTGCACGGAAGTTGGGATGATGCTCAATGCCCTTCTTCCGCATCACTCGAACCATCTCTTTGCTCCCTGCGAAAATGGAAAGAACCACCAGTTAAACGGTTTATGAGATAAACCATTTCCCCTGGTAAGTAAAGCCCCACTTCAAAAAACCACCCTATAAAAATTCACGATGGTTATTAGGGAGATGGTAACTTTAATTACCGATCTTTTCAGGAATGCTGAATAGCTAAAATGTCTGGTCAGCTCTCTGCATCAGCTCATCTAGGAACTGTAAACAGCAGCATTTGGGACTTTTCAGACAGATTCAGCAATGTAAATTGCTTTTTATTAATGCCCCCAGTAAAAGCTCTACCTTAAACAGCAATTAAGAGGTTCAAAGACACTCCAGCAGTCTCTATGTCTTAGGCTGGGAGTTCCTAAGTTGAAGTGTCTTGGGTTGCACACACCGAACTGATCAGAGAGCCTCTGCCTCAGCTAGGCTCATAGTTACTTTAGCAGCTCAACTGGACAGCGCTCCCACTCTTACGGACTGAGCGCCAAGAAAATACATGTAGATTCTGATACTGTAGCTGATACTTTATTTCAAATGCATGATTTTTAAAACAAATGTATTAATGCTCGGCTTGCCTCTTTCTCACCCTTTCCTAGCTACCATCTAGAAGGGACAAGGTTGCTATCAAGATGGTTAGACAGCAGGACAGGGACTACACACCATACCATGTTACCACACTGTGTTCACCAGTGGGCAGGAAGCTACTGACTTAAGAAAAGCTGGACATGCATGTGTTTTCTCTCTTTTTAACATTTTCTGTGGCAAGGTAGGTAACAGATTCAGGGTGTAAGTCCTTACAGCAGGCCTGGCCACCTCTCTATGCCCAGTCCTGCTGGAGCACGCCAGTCACTGACTATAATTACTGTAGTATTTGGTATGCCAGAAGATGGCACTATTCCAAGATTCAGATTTGGGCTCAGTGAAGGCTTTCTCTGGCCTTAAGCCTAAACCAGACACTACTTCTACTCTGTTTTGTTGGGAAATTGGGCCCTAGGTCACAAAATGATAAAGAGATGCCATCGTTATTTCCTATTGTTCCTTGTATTTTATCAAAAACCCTGTGAGGAGGAGAGGTGAGTACCAGACATGATTTAGGTACTCCTTGGACCCTTTTTCCTAGAGGAAAAATATCTCTAATTCCAAAGCGTATACTATCAGGAATGTATATAACAGAGTATCTCTGACAATGAATACTGAGTGAGAGACATATAATTAATTACCAAATGTTTACAGAAAATTGAAAGGATTAGAAGAATCAATATTAAGGTTTTTGCAATACTAGTACATCACCTGGATGAAACCTGGGTTGGGGAGTCTTAATTTCTTTTTTTCCAGCTAAGATCCTACGTTGTTTCCTCCAAAGAGAAAAGATTATTCAAGAGACACTAGGAGAGGATACCTTCAGAGTAAGATGGTGACATCTTGGTATTGCAGAGAAGGGTCCTGCCTCCTTCATCAAAAAAATGCCTAAAATCTCAGCAGTAAGTGGCATCAGCTAAACCAGTAATTCAAAATTCTGCAGTGTCAGGCCCTGCTCTGCATTTCTCATTTATATCTCATCTTCCCGTTAACCTGCTTAAGGTCTCACCAGCACCAAAGGCTACAGTACCGTCCACCAGTAGGAGGTCAACAAGATCAGGCTTGAGGATGAACTGGTTGGGCACTCTAGATTTCAACTGCCTATGCCCAAGACCAAGGTATAGCTAATATAAATGAGTAAGAAAACAAGAAATAACAACAGTGGCTAGTATATGGCACTCACTAGATCATTACTTTCCTAGAGATCCCCTTTCACTTTCTAAGGTTAATGTCTTTTAGCTACTGCATTTTCTCACTGGTGGAAACTGGAGGGAAGAGACTAAATTTGGAACTACAAGTGGAGGCTGGAGAAATTTTTTGAAGTATTTCTTTCATATTCAGTTTCTACTAAACTTGGCAAAAACATCACAAACTTCCATCTGCTACAAACTCAGCAATCCCCTAATAAATGGAATGCATTTCAGACTACAATGGCTTCAATGGTAAGATCAGCAAGACAGAAGGGGCAGTTAAAAGAAGACATAATAGAAACAAAACATCGGAAAAGTTGGTGGCATAACTTCAGTTTCAATTACCTGCATCAATGTTTGGAAACAGAACTAAGGTCCGCTTGTTAAATGAGATAAGCGCATCCAGTGTTAATTCAAACATTTTTATGGAATGCTTAATGTCAGTGGTCACAGGGTGCTGTAGTGCAACAATGTAATCTTTAGATTTTACATCATCACCTGTTCAAAGAAAATCAAACCACACTGCTTCATTAGTTAAGAATCTTAAAGAGGAAGAAGCAAATTCTAAAAAGTAAGATCCCAAAGTCTGTGCTTAAAAATTCCAAGATAAAAACAGTTTGCCACATCCCAGGCAGAGTATCTGAATATAGGATCAAATGGTAAGAACACAGAAGAACAAGTCCTAGAATCCAGCAAAAGGCGCTTGCTACCACAAACGACATATGTAACAGCAGTCACTAGAATCTATTGCTTTAAAATTCAAAATATTTCAAAGCATTAGAAAAATGTAAATCTTCCCCATTTCTAACCAGTGTTTCTAATGAATTGTCAGCAATGAATGAACTGATGATGCTCAAGACGACTTTAATGCATAGCCAGCAGAAATAACAGTAATGGCTATTTCCCTGCAGAGTGTTGGATCAGTACCTTCCTAGAGATACCCTTCCACCTTCTAAAGTTTATGTCTCTGGGCTACTGCATTTTCTCCTTGGTGGGAACCGGAAGGAAGAGACTAAACATGAAACCTCTTGTTCCTCAATGTGCAATTTCTGACATCACTCTGCTTTGTCTCACTCAGCCCTTCTACACAATACTTTCCATTAAGGTATCATCATTTTGTTTAATGTTGTGAAGTTCTCTATTTACTGTGGTATTTCTTTCATTATCAGGAATTTAATAAGTCTTAACCTTTTTTTTTTTTTTTTAAGAGAGGGAAGGGGAGGGGCAGAGGGAGAGGGAGAAAGAATCTTAAGCAGACTCCATGCCCAACACAGAGCCAGACACAGGGCCTGATCTCATGACCCTGAGATCATGACCAGAGCTGAAATCAAGAGTCAAACACTTAACTAATGGGGCCTGCCAGGTGCCCCAAGTCTTTTTAACAATATGCTAATATTTTTACTAGGACTGTTATTTATTCATGTTCTGAAGATGACGTTGAACGCTCTGAGTGGCCTACTCAACCCTGTTCTTCCTAGAAGGAGAGTAATACCATCCGAAGTTGCAGGTGGAGAAGTACTTACAGGTTTTGCACAAAACATACGGCACGGGTGGGTGACTTTGACTCACTGTCTTTTCTTTTCCACTGGCTTTACAAAAAAAAATCATTTTTGTTTTGTCATCCTTCTTTTTATAAAGAAGCTGCTGAAATGGTTCCAAATAGAACCTTAAGCCCCACAAGTATAGTCTTGCCACATTTTGCTTTGTAAGGGTTATGTTCTATTCATTACAAGTTTTTCAGAATCCATCTAGAGCAAACAGAATAATCAGAATGCAAGAGTGTTCACTTAAAGCATACAAAAAGGACGGGCACCTGGGTGGCTCAGTTGGTTAAGTGTCTGCCTTTGGCTCATGTCTTGATGCCAGGGTCCTGGGATCCAGCCCCACATCAGGCTCCCTGCTCAGCTGGAGCCTGCTTTTCTCTCTCCCTCTGGCCCTCCACCCAGCTCATCCTCTCTCCTTCTCTCAAATAAATAAAATCTTTTTTTTTTTTTTTTTTAAAGAAGCAGCAGCAGCAGCAGCAGCATACAAAAAGGAGACTGAAGTGACAGAATTTGTTCCACTGGCATTATCTAGACAGGCTCCTTGATAACTAATATCTGTGCAAGGGTAAGAAATACATAGATTGGATTAACGCATTATAGGAAAACCCTATTCCTTACTTGTTCTAATGTGATCTAAATTAAAAATATACACAATCACAAGATACCAGGGTGGCTCAGTCTATTGAGCTCTTGTCACAGGGTCTCAGGGTCACAATCTCATGGGTTGTGGGATCAAGCCCCATGTGGGCTCCACACCCAGCAGGGAGTCTGCCTGAAGATTCTCTCTCTCTGTCCCTCCCCACACTTGCTAAAAAAAAAAAAAAAAAAAGATATATATAGATAGATAGATATAGGCATATATATCTATATATATACACACATATATACATACACACGCACACACACACTGTCACACACAATCACTAAATCAATTTTTTTGTGGAGCCCAACACAGGGTTTGAACTCATGACCCTGAGATCAAGACCGGAGCTGAGATCAAGGGTCAGTGGCTAACCGACTGAGCTACCCAGGTGCCCCACTAAATCAATTTTCTACTGATTAATTTCATTATATTATAGATCTACCTCTTTAAAAAAGGAGAGTCCCAAATGTTGAAGAATGATTTTGATTTGCCCTCTAGATAGTACTCTTGCTGTAAATTAAGCAACGACATTCTGTTTATCAAACAATTTTCTTTCCTCTTATTCAAAAAAGGTAATTTCCAGGAAGCTAGATCATTGATCAGTGAAGATTTCAGAACTTAAGGCTATTTACAGAAATAATACTAATGGTACAACTGTAATTTTTACTTTCATTATAATCATCACAGCCCCTTATATTAGTAAGTAATTATAGCTTACTGCCTTCAATATTATCTAAGTATTCCAACAATCTCATATGAGAGACGTTAAAATTAAAAATAGTTTTATCAGGGGTGCCTGGGTAGCACAGTTCAGCATCTGACTCTTGGTTTCAGTTCAGGTTGTGCTCTCAGGGTCATGGGATCAGGCCCCGAGTTGGGCTCCATGCTCAGCATGGTGTCTGCTTGGGATTCTCTCTCCTTCTCCCTCTCACGCCCCCCCACACTCTCTCTGTCAAATAAATCTTTTAAAAAAAGTATTTTCATTCCCCCAAAAAACAAAATACAGGAAAACAAAAACCAAAACATCCATAACTCTACTAACCAGAAGTCAACATTATAAATGATTTGGTATACATACTTCTTCATCTTTCCATTATATTACAGATTTTATTAAAATAGCATCATTTATACATATAATTCTGTAGCTTGCTTTCCCCCCTTGTTATATCAGGATCTCTCCTTGTAACTAAATATTTACCCATAGCATATTTAATGGATTAAAAGCATACCATTCTATAAACTATAGCACAGATTTTAAAAAAATTCGATCCAGTAAGACTATTTCACAGAAAAGGTGAGTCTCAGAGAGTTGAAGTCATACCATAGGGTGAGATCTATGAACTAAAACTTTAGTCTTCTGAATTCTAATGGAATATTCTACATTCAGTAGTTTCTAAAAAAACAAACAAACTGAAACATACCCAAACAGACAAAAACCACCATTAGACTGAATAAAGTTTGATACGTACCTAACCACATCCGAATAATGCTCATGTAGTCTTTGTTCTTGGCAGAGAGAAGCTTGTCATAGGAGGGGCAGCCCGCCAGAAGGATGCGGTCATGGTCCTCACACATGGATATCAGGTGCTGCTCTGCACTCCGGGTGCAGCATACATGATAATGAGCCAGTTTGGTTATGGCATGTCTGATAGAATCGTCAATGGTCCCACTGACTTCCCCACCTTCAATGTGAAGGATTCGGATATTCATCAAGGCGGCAGATGTAGCCAGAGCCAGGGCATCAAACCTGTCTCCGTGAACAATCATGATATCAGGCTTCAAGCGATTAAGGACATCTGGGAGCTTCACTAGGGCCAAGCCCACTGATTCTACCATGGCTGCCTCATCTTCCCCTCTAACAATTGTGTGCAGCCTGGTGTTAATGTCAAAGTCATCTTGTTCAATCATGCGGTATGTGTTCCTAAAGCAGAAAAGAAATAAAGATATGAGAGCATGTTCTTCAACACAGGGCCATAAAAACATGAAAAAAGCGTAACATCAACCCTGAAGGGAGAAATATTTTATAAAATTTACTTGTTAAAATAGACAAACTGAAGTATACGCAAAAACTAAAAAGCACAGATCATAAGAGCATAGATTGCTTGATTATTTTACATGAATACCCCTGCGGCCACCACCCAGATCAAGATAGCACATCCAGACCCACAAAGTCTCACTACTGCCCTGGTCAGTACCTGGATAGATAAGCACCTGAAGGAGAATTGTTTTATTAAAACAGAGACCAGAGTTTTTGGTGGTTAACTTCTTTTCTTTCTCCCTATATAAATTTTTTAAAAAGAAATATGCTACCTAATAAAAAAGTTACTTATAAAACCAAAGCACAATTTTTTAAAAAAAATAGGGAAACCAGAATACTTGACATGTCACTATACTATAAATTTCTGAATGATGAAAATTATCTTCTGAATTTGTACTGTACCACTAATGCAGCATAATTTGGAATGGGGTGTAAATGTAGGTTTTACAGCATTAAATTGACTATGAATGGGTGCCTGGGTGGCTCAGTCAGTTAAGTGGCGAACTCTTGGTTTCAGCTCACAGGTCAAGATCCTTACAGTCCTAGGTCTGGCTTTGCATTCAGCAGGGAGTCTGCTCCTTCTCTCTTGCCTCTCCCCCACATTTTCTCTCAAACAAATTCTTTCAATTAAAAAATTTTAAAAGTTGGCTAAAAAATGCAATTTCAAGTCTCTTTAATGCTTCAATAACAGCTGAATTCTCAATGCCTTGAAATTTTCTATTATGACTAGATTTTAAAAAGATTTGGCTTTTTTTCCCTAAATATAGATATATTTAGAATATATAATGTAATTCTATATAATTGTTATAAATATATTTTTAATTGGAAAATACATAAAATTATCATCCCTAAACCTGCCACTCAGCAATACCAATGTAAATCATTTTGATTTTTTCTAGCCCCTTTATGTATATTTTATGATCTATTTTATAACCTATTTAATCCATTTTATAATCTGTTTAATCCATTTTGCATAATATTTTCCCAGATCATGAAAGATTCTTTACATCATTTTACTATGGATGGTCTAGTAGTCATTTTATAGATTCCTTGGCATTTTTCTATAAAACTATCATACTGTCTATTAACAAAAACAGTATGTCTTCTTGTCTATTTCTCACTTTATTACACTGGCTGTTATAGTCTAGCACAAGCTGAAGAGAGGTGGTAAAAGCAAAAATCTTTACCTTGCTCTCTCTCTTTTTTATGTTAACTGTAGGTTTTCCCACCGATGGACTTTATCAGATTGGGGAATTTCCCTTCTATTCAAAGTCTGCTTAGAGTTTTTTTTAATCATAACTGGGTTAATTCTGTCAATTTTTTTTGGTATTTGTTGAGATGATCATATGTGCCTCCCCTTTATTCTGTTAAGAGGTGAGTAACACTGATGCTCAAATGTTATATCAATCTGGATTTCCCGAGATCAACCTATTTGGTCACAATGTAGTACCTGTTTTTTAAATTGCTGGATGTGATTTAATATATATCTTTTTAATTTTATGTCTATGCTCATAAGAGATACTGGTCTGAATTTTTTTCTTAAATGTTTTTGTCAGGTTTTATTATCAAGTTTGTTGTTGTTTTTGTTTTTGTTTTTGTTTTAAGATTTTGAGGGCAAGAATGAGCACAAGCTGGTGGAGGGGCGGAGGGAGAAGCAGACTCCTTGCTAAAGAGGGAGCCCAACGTGGGGCTGGATCCCAGGACCCTGGGACTATGACCTCAGCCAAAGGCAGATGCTTACCGACTGAGCCACCCCGGCATCCCAAGATTATGCTGACTTTATAAAACAATCTGGGAAAATTCCCTGCTTGTCTATTTTCCAAAAGAGTCTATGTAAGATTGGTGTTATTTCCAAACAAAAGGAAAAAAAAAAAAGAGACAAACCAAGAAGTAGACTTTTTTTTTTTTTTTTTTTTTTTTAAGATTTATTTGAGAGAGAAGAGAGAATTGGTGAGGAGGGGAGATAGCAGAAGAGGGAGAAACTCTAAGAGACTAACTTTTTTTCAGATTTTATTTATTTATTTGATAGAGAGTGTGCCTGCACAAGCATGGGGAGCAGCAGGCAGAGAGAGAGGGAGAAGCAGGCTCCACGGAGCAGAAAGCCCGAGGTGGAGCTCGAACTCAGGATCCTGGAATCATGACCTGAGCCAAAGGACAATCTCAGAAGCTTAACCAACTGAGCCACTCAGGTGCCTCTCTAAACTTTTTTTTTTTTTTTAAGATTTTATGTATTTATTTGACAGAGATCATAAGCAGGCAGAGAGCCAGGCGGGGGTGGAGGGGAAGCAGGCTCCCAGCTGAGCAGAGAGCCAGATGCGGGGCTCAATCCCAGGACCCCGAGATCATAATCCGAGCCAAAGGTAGAGGCTTAACCCACTGAGCCACCCAGGCACCCCTCTAAACATCTTTTTAACAGAAGTATTTGAAGACAAAAATTTCCTCCAAGCATTCCTTCATCTATACCCACAAATTCTGATACACTGTAATATTTATTATTCAGTTCAAAAGATTTTTCTAATTTCTCTTAGAATTTGTTTGATCCATGGGTTTAGACCTCAAGAGTAAAACAACTTTTTTTTTTTTTTAAGAGAGTGAGCACACTCATGCCTGTGCTGTGGGTGGGGGGGGGGTGCTGCTGTGCAGAGGGAGAGGGAGAATCTCAAGCAGACTCCACGCCCACCACAGAGCCTGACATGGGGCTCAATCTTATGACCCTGAGATCATGACCTAAACCAAAATTAAGAGTCAGGTGCTTAACTGACCCACCCTGGTGCCCCTATAAAAATTTAAACAAATTTTTTAAAAATAATCTTACTTAAAAAACGAACTAAAGACCTTAATAGACACCTTACCAAACATTATGTAAAACTGGCACATAAGCATACAAAAATGCTCCACATCTTATATCATGACAGAAATGCAAATTAAAACAGATACTGCTACACACCTTTCAGAATGGCCAAAAGCAGAACACTGCTATCACCAAATGCTCACAAGGACAGTGGAGCAACAGGTACACTCACTCAGTGATGGTATGAATACAAAATGATACAGCCACTTTGGAAGACAGCTCAGTGGTTTCTTTCAAAACTAAGTATATTCTTATCATACAAATCAGCAATCAGGCTCTTACTATTTCCCAAAGGAGCTAAAAACTTAGGTCCACACTAACTTCTGAAAACTGGGTATTTGCAGCAGCTTTATTCATAAATGCCCAAACCTGGAAGTTACTAAGATGCCCAGAGTAGATGAATGAATAAATAAACTATGGTACATCCAGAAAATGGAATATTATTCAGCACTAAAAAGAAAGGACTATCAAGCCCTGGACATACATGGATCATGGAGACTTAAAGGCATGTTACTAAGTGCAAGAAACCAGTATGAAGTGGTTACATACTCTATGGTTCCAACTACATGACACTCTGGAAAAGGCAAATGTATGGAGATAGTAAAATCTATGGAGATGGTTATAGAACACATTTTTAGGGACTGGAACAATTCTGATACTATAATGGTAGATTCAAGTCATTATACATTTGTCGAAACATACAGAATTTACACCACCTGGGTGGGCACCTAGGTGGCTCAGTCGGTTAAGTGGCTGGCTCTTGATTTTGGCTCAGGTGCATGATCTTGGGGTTGTGAGGTTGGGCCTGCTTAGGATTCCCTCTCCCCCTCCCCATACTTGCGTGCACATGCATGCTCTTGCTCTCAAAATGTAATGTAAACAAATGTACCCCTGGGGGTAGAGGGCTGACACTGATAATGGGGGATGCTAGGCATGTATGGAGGCAGAGGGGCACACGGGGTAACCCCAGTACTGCCTGCTCAATTTTGCTGTAGACCTAAAACTGCTCTAAAATGTTTTAATATTTTGTATCACTGACTCATATGAAATAAATGAACAAGTGAATTTCTAACCTGTTTGTTGTGACTTATTTGATTTCCTTTTTCACCCAGATCTTAAAGAGTATAAAAATGCTGTTTTTTTTTAAAAAGTATCAATTTAGTTGAAATAGAGGGCAGCTTTTTTTTGTTGTTGTTTTAATGTCTTTGAAATACAGATAATATATTCAAATGGTTTAAAATTTAAGATACGAAACATTCTCCAGTGAAAAGGCTACCTTCTCACTTTTGTTTCCCAGTCATCCAGTTCCTCTCCCAGAAGCAACCAACTTCCGTTAGAATGTACTTTACATGACTTTTCCATTAAATACCAGTCAAATGTCCTATGTAACAATCTCATGAGACAAATACTGCCTTTTCACCCTTACTTACTGTGGGAGATGGGGAAACCTAACCCAATTTCCTTGAAATCCTCTGTCCTACTAATCTTCCCATCAAACTTTTCTCAAAGAAGTAAAAGAACCCACTTAGACTTCATTTCAGGATCTAGCTAAAATTCTTCTTCTACTTTGTCCTATATAAGAAAACCCACTGGATTTTCTTAGATAGCCAGGATTCATTTCACATTTTTTAAAAAGATTTTATTTATTTATTTGACAGAGAGATCACAAGTAGGCAGAGAGGCAGGCAGAGAGAGAGGGGGAAGCAGGCTCCCTGCTGAGCAGAGAGCCTGATGTGGGGCTCCATCCCAGAACCGTGGAATCATGACCTGAGCCGAAGGCAGAGGCTTTAGACCACTGAGCCACCCAGGCACCCCTCATTTCACATTTTAAAAACTTTTGAATTTTTGAGCTATGTATCAGATTCTTCTCTACTCTTCGTAAGTATTTTCTTAGAGAAAATCAGTTTTTAGAGGCAGGTTTTTGTTGACTTTTGTTGTTCTTATTGCCTTGCTTTTAAAGAATACTCTGAAAAGGCAATTTTACTTTAACACGAGCTTCTTTCATATATAACATGGTCGTTACTAACCATCTTGGGAAGCTGCATTAATGTTTTTATGCCACAAGAGTGCACTAAATGCCACTTTATTACCAAAAACAAAACGAATGTTCACCTTTGGTTTAGACATTCTGTTCCCTCTAAGATTTCCCAACTCTCATTTTTCAAATTTAGACTGTGATAATAAACCTAATGATAAACACCAGAATAAATACCAATGACAATATAACATTCTAATTTATCTTGTAAATTAACTTTTTAAATCTTGTTTCCTACCTACTACTTGATGTACTATTGACCTATACATGAGTTTTAAGAAAGCAGTACCATTAGAACTCACAGAACATATTACAGGAAGTAACATTATTAGAGTCACACACCATATAAGTGGCATTTCTCCTGAATGTAACAGGTAATAATAAAAATATTTATAGCTATCATTTATCGAGCACCTATTAAGCAGCTACTCTGTGTGATGGACAATTTGTATCACTATCTCCATTCTTCACAGTAACCTACAACGTACGTTTTCACTCCATTTTATAACTGAGGAACCTGAAGATGCAACTTCTCCAAGGCCATATAAAAACTAAGAGGGAGAACTGGGATTTGAAGATAGGTCCACTTGACTACAAGATGCAAGCTCTCTCTAGGACACCGTGTTGCAATGAAGGATATCATAAGAAAATGCTTTCATCTTACCCGTAGTCATCTATCAGGTGAGAGCCAAGTACCACCACATCAAGTTCAAAGAACTCAGGTTCCATTTTAATGCCAAACATGATCGGGGCAAGTTTAGAATAATCAGCACGGTTGCAAGTGGCAACACAAACCCGAAGTTTTCGGTTATTCCCATTCTTCTCCATGACTTGTTTCTTTTGTTTTGAGACGTTCTTAAAATAGAGTTCCTAAAGTTGCAAAAATAAAAATTATTTATCATCAGAATGACATGTCCTAGATAAAAACACAGAATTTTCTAGTTCCAAGCCTTGTAACCACGATTTAATACAGTGCTTGTTAACCTTTTTTTCCACCCCTGCTCCTGTGTGACACACCCACTGGTATATCCAGAGCTAGGAAATTCCTGCTGACTAATTCCACCCCTTTCTCTCACACTCAAGAAAACACACTGGAATAAAGAAACAGTGACATAAATCAGCTCCCTTTTAAAAGCAAGCAAACGTCAGTTCTTTATTAGTTAGAAATTACTTACCACACCTCACAACTGATACCAACACACCAGACTACTGAGAATAACTGATCTAGTTCAACTCCCTCTCTTTACAGAAAGGGAAACAGATATCTTGAGAGAGGAAATTACTTCCCCAAGATTCAAGATAACATCTTATAAGGGATAAGATCTATTTACCCTCACACTAAACACCCACTATATACAAAGCCCTGTGATTGGTGTGGAGGAAGAGAAAGGTAAAATAAAAAAGCCTACCTCCAAGGCCTCATTAGCCCCTATAGCCAGTGCCTACAAACCTCTGACAATTCCAAATGCCTACCAGGTGTATCTCCTGACCCATACACACCTTAAAGTCAGTCACCCAAACCGAACTCATTTTTTTCCCTCATTTCCTTTCCTCCTTCCTTGTTCTCTAACTCAGTTATGAACTTCCATTCACCCAAATGCCTTGACCCTGGACATCCTTGTCTTCTCTGTCCCTTACTCTGTACCTACTAAGCCCTGTCAGTTCCACCTCCTTAATCTCTCTCTCTCTCTCTCTTTTTAAGTAGGCTCCATGCCCAGGGTGGAGATCAACACAGGGCTTGAACTCACAGCCCTGAGATCAAGACCAGAGCTGAGATCAAGTCAGACACTTAACCAACTGAAGCCACCCGGGCACCCCTCCACCTCCTAAATATCTTTCAAATCCAGCTCCTCCTCTTCATCCCCACCAGGACATCCCCCAGTCCATCCTCTCATTTTAGGTCTGAACCATTGTTAACAGCTGCCAAAGTAGTCCGCCTGTCTCTAGCCTTGCCCTGCCTCCCACAGACTTTCAGAGTGATCTTTCCAAAGTTCATAAGTTTGATTATCATGCTCAACAGAATATACAACCTATGAATAAAGTCCAAGTTACTGATCCGGACCTACCCCATTTTTCCAACCACTTCGCCCTGACCTACAATTACCCTTACTCTGTGCCAAAGCCACACTAAAATACCTATAGTTTTACCAGTGAGTCTCCAAATCTCTGTATATAGTATTGTAGATATATGTACCCTTAGGTTAAATTTCCTTTCCCTCTGGCCTGGGCTTCTCCTCATCCTTCAAAACTCGGTCTAAGCGTTGCCTCTTCTTGAAAACCTCTACATAAACTTCAGTTCTTCTTCAACTCACCCCTTTTAGCTGCTACCTTCCTCTGAGCACTATGGCCCTTCCAAACACATATATACTTTTGCTTGACTCCTCTCCCCACATCCACCCACTCTCCCTCCCGCCATCTATAGCCTCCATTCAAAGTAAAAATCATGGGCAAGGGATAAGAGATGTTTTAAACTTCTCTGTATCAATGTAAAATTCCACCTCATGAGGTCAATGTTTTTGCTTCAGGAAGCATGTCAATATTTAGACTTTGCCATCAGGCATACAAAGAAGCTTGAATAAAGATGCCAGGAGTAGGGGAGTTACCCTTTAAATCAGGGTAAACTCTAAACCCCACTGGAAATCTCATTAGCTGCCATCTCATCTCTATCAGGCTCAAACTTCTGTGAGAACACAAACTGCCCCATCATTAGGCCCATTCTGAACTCAACAATCTCCAGTCAAAGCTAATTCCACCCAACAGAAAGCATTTATGATATAATGAAATAGACATTCTGTCAAGAGAGTTGTATTCACTAGTTCTAAGCACTACCTAATCATTAAAGACAAAAATGTTTCTCCAAAAATGGCTGTCTTAAATGTTGTTGTACATAATCCTTCCTTCACTGATCATTAAATTTGAGCTGAATAAAATGTTGGTGATATTCAACTTGTTGGGTGAGGCAAAGCAAATCTTTCATGGTTGGTCAATTTGTTTTTATCTTAAAAGAATGTAAACGTCACCTCACAATACTAAAATGCTTAGTATTTACCAAATACCTCAAAGGTTATTCTACTAAAACCGAGAGTAAAGTAGCCAAATAAACTATGAAAAAGGGAAAAATGTTACTAAGGCCAAAGCTTTTTTCAGGAAAGAAGTTAAATCTTTAAAATATGGCAAAATGCCTCTTTAAAGGGAGAAGTTTGGGGTTTTCTAAAATAACTTTAACTTCTTAGGTAGTACATTCACATGGTTTAAAACTGAGAAGTAACAAGAGGCTATATAGCAGAGTCTTCTCATCTGTGCTCTACAGCCATGCAGTTTTTCTCCCTGGAAGCTAGAAGTTACTAGTTCTTATCTATACTTTCATAGGTAAACCAGGCATGTATAAATAAAGATGTATTTGCTTATAAATACATACAACATATATTATACAACTGATAACATTCTATAAACTGATGTTGCATCCCCTGCTTTTAAAAATGCTTTTAATTATGCTTCTGAATTGAATGGTAAAATGGGAAAGTTTAAAGGCACTGAAAATATCAAAACTAAAGTGCAAAGTTTTGAAAATTGCTGGCCATCATCCCTTTAAATATATGAAGGGTCATGAGAGCCCCAAAAGTAAAAACAATCAGTGTCACAAACATTTAGTATCTACTCTGTGCGGAGCACTATAAAGAAAGCTGAGATACAGAACTGAAAAAGACCCTGTCTCATATTTAGAAACCTTAAAATTAGTACCTGAAACCAGCCAACATAATAGATGTTAACTAGTTCACTTTTCTAAATAGAAGCCCCAGAAACAAAATTAATAAATTTTTTCCCAGCCCTGTATATATTATTTGCTCTGGATCAGAGATCATACCCAAAGATACATTTTTATACTGAGAACTATGACCAGAGCCCCTATGACCAAGATAGAATGAATAAATGGCAAAACAATGAATGAGTGACAAAATCGACTTAAACTGTAATAGGACAATTTAAGTTGCATAAAGTACAATGTAAAGCAAAACTCAATTCTTTACATGGTGAAATACGAGACAGCAATTAAAATGAATGGACTATGTCTACATTTGTCTATATTAATAAATCTCAGAAACGGAGCATTAGAGGAAAACAGCAAATTCTAAAAAGTTAGATACAATAGGGTACCATTTTTAAGTTTTTCAAAACGTGTAAAACATTACTGTATGCTATTTATTGATCTACAGCAAAGTTCCACACCAACTCAGGGAAGTAGTTACCTCTGGAGAGGGAGGGAAGGGAAAGAAAAATGGGGCTTCAGGCTTTAGCTAACATTTATTTTTTTTTAAAAAACCATACCATAAACAGAGATGTGAAACAAACAAGGTAAAATATTAATATGTGTTAAATCTCGGTTACTGGTAGAAGGTGTCATACTGTCTTCTGTCCTTTTAAGCACATTCGAAATTTCCATTCTTAAAAACAAGAACTCTTTTATTTTTTTTTAAGATTTTATTTATTTATTTGACAGAGTGAGAGATCACAAGTAGAGAGGCAGGCAGAGAGAGAGAGGGAAGCAGGCTCCCTGCTGAGCAAAGAGCCCCATGCGGGACTCTATCCCAGGACCCTGGGATCATGACCTGAGCCGAAGGCAGCGGCTTAACCCGCTGAGCCACCCAGGTGCCCCAAAACAAGAACTCTTTTAAATAGATACTGTGAAGTAGGTATGTTGTCCATAGCCAGTCACCACCCCCACCACACACCCAAGCCTAAAGCTCAGAAAGTCAGGAGGGACTGGATTTGCCCCCATTTCACCTATCAATTCCAAAATTGTAACTAAAATACAAATAAATGCGATAGAAGTATGCTTTCATCTTGAATTCACTGGCAATCTCTGAGAAACCCAATTCTGAAAGACCACTTCCTGCATTCTCTCAAGACTGACCATTTTAAATAGACAAAAGGTGATCAGCACTTTCCAGAAAAATATCCCACTCATCTGTGGAAAAAGACTCACAAACATTTGGCTCAGTCACTGGGCAGAGGAAACAGTAACAACAAACATTTGAGAAGTACTTCTGAGGTGCTAAGCACTGTGTTAAGAACTTTGTAAGCATTAACCATTTCATCCTGACAGTCCTCTCACTAGCCCCATTTTACAGAGGGGGAGGGGGACACTGAAGTACTGCCAAAATAATTTACTTGCCCCAAATCACAGTTAATAATTGCCAGAACCAAAAATCAAACCCAGCATGCAGGATACTGCCACATCCAGTGTTTGCCTAGTATCTGATCATTAACATCCTTGGAACTTCTTTGGGCCAGGTCCTGCCAGGCCCCACGGCAATTAAAAGAACATGATATATCACTCGTCCCTCGGTGCAGCAAGGATGAGACTCAGGATCAAGAAGGAAGGGGCTATCTAAAAGCGGCCTGGAATTCAAAAACCTATTCCTGAGCTGTAGCTTGCTTTGGCTTCTTCCAGAGCCTCTACAGCTGGGTTCAACAGTTAACTTAGACCGCTAAATTGCACTCCTCCTTTCGGAGAAGCCAAAACTTTAGCGTTCTCTAACAATTTAACGGGTGTGCTCCGATTGGGGAGGAAAAATAAACACCTATCAAGCTCCTGAGGAAGCCCAGACTCAGAACGTAGTCAGGGTTCGGCGCAGATCTTCAATACCATCGTTTAGTTTAACCCTTTAAACCCCAGGGCCACTTGTCTGTCAAGAAACTCTCCGCCCTCTCCTGCAAACCTCCGTAAAAGCACCCTCACTATCTCCCGCTTCCTCACTGGACAGCACGGCTCGTGGGTGGGAGCCCTTCCCCGCCGCCGGCTACTCGCCCGCGGCCAGCCACGAACCTGTCTGCTCCCCGTGCCGGGAATACAGAGGGGCCCTGGCACGTAGGCCTGCGGAAGACAGGGCGACGCCCGGGTCTTGTGCGAGCCTGGGAACGCCGGGAGGTCCAAGCCGCGGGACTGCGGAGGCCACGAGACAGGGGCCGGAGCAGGAGGCCGCGGGGGGCCCGGAGGATGCTCTCCTCCCGGCCGACGCGGGGCTCTCACCAGACGCTGGCGCGCTGCTTCCTCCCAGTCCGCCGCCGCGCCTCACGGGCTACAGCCGAACGCAGCAACTGAAGGCGGGCCCGCGTAGGTCAGCCGCGGCGGCTTCCGCAAGTCTGCCACGCGCGTAGGAGACTCTAGTCTCGACCCCAGCCCCGCACGCCCCCTGCACGCCCCAGCACACGTCCCCCCGGCACCGAATCGGCGAACGCGCCCTTACGTAACCTGAGAGCGACCCTCTGATTGGCTGCGCCCGGAAGAGCCCCACCCCCTTGCCAAACGGTTTTTGAAAGGGGTTGGCCGAGAGGAGTGGAGTGTCTCCAGTCGTCGTGGCGGACTCGGGTTGCCGCCCCGACGTGTACTACTCCGCGGCCCACGTACGCTGGAGAGCCCGGGTCTTCGCACGTGGAAGCTGTTTTGGCCTTGCACCCCAAGGAGAATTACGCCTTCTCTTCCCTCAGGCATTTCATAGGCCCTGACCAAAACAATACTGTCGTGCTGCCGGTCCGCCCCAGAGCCATCTTTTGAGATAAAGCCTCGCCACTGCAGGACGGTGTCTGCTAGAAGACTGATGGAGTGTTGATAATGAACCAAACAAGGCACATACCAGCTGATCATAAGGCGCTCCGCCTGGGCCTCCTTTTAGGAAACCTTCTGCCAGTCGGGCTGGGGAAGTCCAGAGGGGAACTTGGCAGCGGCAGAAGAGGTGGCGGAAGAGGGCTCCCATGGCGCCCGATAAAGACTTTTTTTTTTTTTTTTAAGATTATTTATTTATTTATTTATTTGACATCACAAGTAGGCAGAGAGGCAGGCAGTGAGAGGGGGAAGTAGGCTCCCCGCCCAGCAGAGATCCCCACGGGGGACTCGATCCCAGAACCCCGAGATCACGACCAGAGCCGAAGGCAGCGGCACAAGCCACTGAGCGACCCAGGCGCCCCTGATAAAAGACCTTTTAATGATCTTTTTCAAATTACCGAGTCACCAATGACAAACTTCGAATGAGTTGGTGTTAAAAAAACATTACAACGTTTTTTACCACCATTAAATAATTGACCGCAGGTGAAACTTAACAACTCATCCAGAGTTCTTGCTCTAAGGCAAATTTCAAACCCTAACTTTTGCATTTCATGTATTTCATTTAATAATGAAGCTGTAAGTTGCAGAGTACTTAGGAACTAGCATTTCTCCGGCGGCTAGCCTGGAGCTACTAAAAGGACGTTTCAGCCACAAAAGGACAGGCTTTAAGGGGATTTGTGTAAGGAAGTGCCAATAGATTTTATTAAATATCACTTTGGCTAGTATGTGGAGAATGGATTGGCACTGAAAGAATGGTGGCAGTGAAAAAAAATAATCTGGAAGGATACATAAAGAACTGGTCCGACTGACAGGGCCGGAAGGAGATGGACTTTTCCACCGAATACCTATTTATAATATCTTTTGTGTTTTGTAATATATGCACATATTGCATATTAAAGAGAACAAAATTGTTAAAAATGGTGACAGTGAAACTCAAATGGATGATAGGAGATTGAATTTGGAAGCAGAATTGAAAATTATGGATTAGGTATGAGGGAATGAGAGAAAAGGATGGAAATAAGGATGACTTCCAGGTGTCTGGTATTAGTAATTGGGTGATTGGTGCTATTTATCAAGATAAGAAAAAAGCTGAGGGAGTGACCACATTTGGGGAGTTAAAGTTTTATTTTGGGATATATTTGAGATGCCTATTAAGTGAACAATAAGATATATGACTCTGGACATAGAGTCGCCAGAGAGTGCATTAGTTTTCTATTGCTGCTACAACAAATTACCTTAAACCTAGTGGTTAAAAACTAATGTGTTATCTTGCAGTTCTGGAGGTTAGGAGTCTGAAATGAGTTTTACCCAGCTAAAATCAAAGTAGCAATGTAGATATCATCACAAGAAAAGAAAATTAAACTGTTTGGTGATGGATGTTAGCTAAACATAATGGTGATCATTTCACAATATATACATATATCAAATCATTACGCTGTATACTTGAAAGTAACATATAATATCTCAAATATGTGTCTTTTTTTTTTTTTTTTAAGGTATCAGTGGGTCGGCCTTCCCTAGGGGGCAGTGGACCATCTATTTCCTTGCCTTTCCTTGGCTACAGGCTACCCTCATTCCTTGGTTTGTGGCCCCTCTGACCTCTGTTTTCCTTGTCACATTTCCTGTGACTCTCTTCCTCCTTGAGTTAAAAAGACTCTTGTGATTATAGTCCAGGATATTCTTACCATCTCAAAATCCTTGATTTAATCACATTGGCAAAGTCTCTTTTCTATATAAGGGGACATTCACAAGTTCTAGGGATTAAGACATGGCTCTTCGGGAGCTATTAATTTGCCTAACACAAGTGGTATCAAAACCCTCAGGAAATGTTCAAGATGGGCACATTGCTTTTATTTTATTTATTTTTTATTTTTTTACAATTTTTTTAATTTTTATTTTATTTTATTTATTTATTTGAGACAGAGAGGTACAGAGAGAGAGAGCATGAGCTGTGGAAGAGGCAAAGGGAGAAGAAGAGGGAGAAGCAGGCTTCCTGCTGAGCCAGAAGCCCTATATGGGGCTCAATATATGGCTTGATATGAGGCTCATGGGGCTCGATCCCATCATGACCTGAGGCGAAGGCAGACATTTAACCATCTGAGCCACTCAGGCACCCCAAGATGGGCATATTGCTTTTAAACTTACATGTCAGGGGCGCCTGGCTGGCTCAATCAATGGAGCATGTGACTCTTGATCTCGGGGTTGTGAGTTGGACCCCCACACTGGGTGCAGAAATTACTTAAAAATAAAATCTTTAGGGGCACCTGAGTGGCTCAGTTGGTTAAGCCTCTGCCTTCGGCTCAGGTCATGGTCTCAGGGTCCTGGGATGGAGCCCCACATCGGGCTCTCTGCTCAGCGGGGAGCCTGCTTTCCCCTTTCTCTCTGCCTGCCTCTCTGCCTACTTTTGATCTCTGTCCATCAAATAAAATCTTTTAAAGAAATAAAACATAAAATCAAATAAAATCTTTAGGGCGCCTGGGCGGCTCAGTCATTGCATGTTTGCCTTCAGCTTGGGTGGTGATCCCAAGATCCTGGGATCGACCCCCTGAATTGGGGGCGGGCGTCCCTGCTCAGCAGGGAGCCTGCTTCTCCCTCTCCCATTCCCCCTGCTTGTATTCCCTCTCTCGCTGTCAAATAAATAAAATATTTTTAAAATAAATTAAATAAAATATTTAAAAAATAATAAAGTTACATGCCATATCACCAAATATCCAGAAAAGAACAGTTATTTTTTCTCTTAAAACTTAAGAAAATTTAATTTTAAAAAACAGTATTTATGTTCAGTTTTTTAAAAATCTGCATGCTTATTACACGGGTGTGTTTAGTTTGTTAGAATTCAAATTGTACACTTGAGATATCAGTGCTTTTTTATGTATCTTGTAAGTATTACATATTTTTAACATACTTAATGCTTAAGTTATGGCTAGGAAAAATGTAACTAGAAATACAAATACTTTTAATAAAGATAATACAGTTTTGAGAATTTTTGCACTTATTAAGCCACTCAGATTTTATGTTTGACCAATATTGAAAATTTTATATTTCCATATATAGTTCGAATAGTTCTGTGTTCATGGAATCACTTAACCTTGAAATGAAAGTGAAATTAATGAAATGACCCTCTTTTTTAGACTTTTTCTCTATGTTCTCTTGAGATGAAGTTGCAGCAAGGAGCTGTGGGAGGCATTTCCTTTTGGCTTTCTCAGATCACATTTGTATACGTACCATTACATTTCCAGATCTCTGTTACTTTGCTATTTAACAGTTGTGAATTAACATATCAAAATCTTCTCATGTCATTGTTTATGTTTGGTTTGGTTTTCTTTGGCTTTAATCTGAGAGCTCTACAAGTTGCAAAAAAGTACGTATGGCTTTATGATATAATAAAATCAAATTTTCCATAATTACTCCATAAGCAGAATTACAACTTCAAACATTTATGGCATAATTGGTTTATCAGAGAATCCTAAATCTTAAAAGATCATCTAACCCAACCTTCTCATCAAAGGAGGAGACCTCTCGAAATCACCCTGACAGGTGTTCATCTGACCACTTTAGGAACATTTCTTTTAATAGGGACTTCTTTGCTCTTTTATTTGGTGGTTTAGTTGTAAAGTACTCACCTCTCTATAAAGTCTACCCAAGTATTAGCGCCCCAATATCCTAACTACTTTGTTTATATTCTCTCAGTACTCAGAACAACCTTAAGGTGTAGATTCTATCTCTCCCATTTTATAGATAAGGAGGCTGAAGCACAAAAGGGAAAGTTGCCTAAGGTCACAGAGTTGTTAAGCAGAAGAAGATCCCAGGTGTTTAGACACTACCTGGTATTTCCTCTTTCTACTAAACAGAGCCTTTCTTACGACAGAAAACTGTCTTCAGGTTGCACTTGCTCATCGCTTTTTGGGTATGCTGTTCCACTAGTTAAGAATTCACATAACTCTTCTGTTATCCAGCCCACATCTCTCTGAATCACTCACATAAACGTCTTTAAGAGACTTTTAAAGCTATCTCCTTTAAAATCAAGAATACAGGAGACACTGGGTGACTCAGTCAGTTGAGCGAGGGACTCTTGATTTTCGCTGAGGTAGTGATCTCAGGATCCCAGGATTGAGCCATACATGAGCCAACCCCCCCACCCCATGGGCTCCGTGTAGGGGCTCCACGCTCTGTAGAGTCTTCTTATCCCCCCACTAAATAAAATCTTTTTTTTCTCTTTTTAAAAAAGATTTTATTTATTTATTTGAGAGAGAGAGAAAATGGTGGGGGGGAGGGAAGTGGGAGAAGCAGGCTCCCCACTGAGCAGGGAGCCCCACTTGAGGGAGTCCCCAGATAGTTTTTTTTATTGTGTTATGTTAGTCACCATACCGTATATCATTAGTTTTTGG